GCACAGAGCAAAGTAAGAGCTACACGATATTGGCTTTCACACTAAATTATTCTCATTACTTAATTAATTTAAACTACAAATCACCGACCTTGCGAGCGACTTTATGCAAGAAAAATGAGTGAAAAATTCAAGCCGAAACAATTAAAAGGAGGTATGAGTCAACAATGCACTATAACTCGTTACTGAGAGTGCAACCTTAATCTAAAACTGTATGGTTCTCAATTGTATGCGTGAACCAATTGCGTGCTTAGACAGACTTGCGTCTCAGTGAAGGAAATATTGTGTGCGGGACTCACACGAGGTTTGGACTGCAACTGCTGCTGAGATTGCTGATCATGCTGTAGTTGAACTTGAGATGGAATTTGATCTTGATAGCGATGAGGTGCCATATGCTGAGGAGCACCTATACCGTGGAGGTGACGCAACGAAGACTTGCTCGCAGACGAGGCGCGAGTATAGGCGGCAGATTCGCCGTAACTAGAGCCACTTGGAGTACAAGAAGGCATGGAGTCTCGAGTGCCTACATCCGAGCCAAAACCGTCCTGAAATTCACCGCTTCGGGGTCCAGACTGAAGATTTTCTGTACCACTGCCGGATAGTTGCCTGTTAGCTAGAGAGATTTTGCAAGATCTCTCCTCTTTACTTTCTTCCTGTCCAATCGCTCCCTCATTAAGAGAGTAACCACTGTGGATATACTGTTGACCTTGAAAAGCACCCGACTCAGAATCCTCAAATCCACCGAGATCACCGCCAACGTCGTCAAAATCATTGTCGCCCTCATTAATAGTTGAGGCCAAAGAGGAAGTTGAGTTAAGTGGCGGATAAAGTGGCAGAGTTTGGCTGGCTGGGGCGTTAGTAGTCTCATCCAAATCGGATAAATTATAGGCCTAAATATAGGCAAAATTAAGAGTAATGGAAACAGTTTATCACATTTCAACGAACAGTAAGTGTTATTTTAGAATTATGTTTACTCTTTGGTCGATCACTGTTTTGGGAACTGACTGTTAAGCCACTCATGACTAGCTAAGGAGACTTGATTTTGCCGAGACAAAATTTGGAACCAAAGTTGCCTTCATTTTTCTGCTAAAATCAAGTCTCCCCAGAAGGTCAGTCATCAATAAGTGGTCATATAAGCACCATTCAAACATTAAATAGAGACCATTAGAGCTTCTAAATTATGCAAATAAAAATAAAATTTTTGATCTACGCATCATAGCTTG